TATCTATTATATGGGGTGTCAAAATCTAATGTTCAAGCAAATTCTCAATATCGCCTTGGAAAAACGAACTATTGATTCGTTTAAGTTTAAGAACTTGTTTTTTGTTTATTCACCCATTTGTTAAAAGTCATAGTGAATGCAGGTGGATACAGCTGATTTTATTCCAGATCCCAAATATGTATAAAGTATAAGCTTATGAAAAGGCAATTCCATCAAATAGAAATATTTGACAGTTTAGATATTACTCGGTAACCTTATAGGGTATGCCATCTTGTGTATTTAGAGAAAGTTAAATATGCTTCCTAACTTCTACTTCCTTCTCACTAGTACCTGTAAGAGACAGATTCTGAAACAACTGAGTCACAAGAGATATTGCTCAGGACCCATATAAACCAAGAGTCATTCTACTGGATGGTTTTATAGCTCATTCAACATGAGCTAGAGTTATCTGGAAGCATGGAACCTTAATTGGGAAAATGTCTCCATAAGATGTGGATGTAGGTAAGCTGTAGGGCAGTGGTTCTCAAGCTCCCTAATGCTTTAGCCCTTTCATACAGTTCCTCGTGTTGTGGTGATGCCCAATCATAAAATTATTTTCATTGCTGCTTTATAACTGTAACTTTGCTACTGTTGTGATCATACGTAAATAGTTTTGGACATAGAGGTTTGCCAAAGGGGTTTCAATACACAGGTTGATAACTATTGATATTTTCTTAATTTTGTGATTGGTGTGGGAGGGCCCAGCCCATGGTTGGTGGAGCCAACCCTCAGCATGTGGTCCTGGGTTCTAAAAGAAAGCAGGGAAAGCAAGCCTTGGGTAGCAAGCCAGTAATCAGCACCCCTCCTGGCCTCTACATCAGCTCCTGTCTTCAGGTTCTCATTGTGTTTGAGTTCCTGCCCTGTTCTTTTAGTGATGAACTAAGTATATGTCCACAGTCCCTTTCTTCCTCAACCTGCTCTTTTTGGTCATGGTGTTTCATCATAGGACAGAAATTGATACTAGAAGTAGGGTATTGCTCTGAGAGACCTGACCATGTTTTGGGGAGAATTGTGGAAGGACTTTGGAACTTTGGGCTAGAAAAGCTACTGAGTGTTGAGTACTCAGTAGGATATTTGTAGAAGGTTGCAAGAATGTTGAAAGCAGTGCAGCAAAAAGGGCTGGCTTGTGACGTTTTAGAGTGATGCTAAGACTCCACAGGAGCATGCATATGAAGAATCTGTATCTGGTCAGTTGAGACTGAAGTGTCAGCCATGATTAACAAGAGACTGACACCTTTGAAGGGAAACTTTGGAGTTACTGGAACAATTGATGCTGGTTAGCTGGAGCTGAGAAATTAGCAGGGACCAGCATCATTGAGGTGAAATCTTCTGCTGTTTTCTGAGAGTTAGCACACCGAAGCTATGTTTCAGAGGCCACTAAATGTGGTAGTGTAAAAGTCACCCAGGTAGTACTGGTTTTGAAGGCACAGAGGGATCATGGAGAGCAGCTGAGGCTTTGTGCTGTGGGAGGCCACAAGAAGCCATTGTGGCCAGAGTAGCAGTGGCAGCTCCAGGATTGAAGGGGTCATGGAGAAAAGTTGAGACTGTACCACAATGATAGCACAGGAGAGCCTATTGGTGAAAGCACAACCTCGTTACAGAAGACCATGGCATTTTGGAGATGGTAGTACCATGGGACAACCACCAAGAACAGCAGAAGTGGTGGAGTGGAGCCTATCCAAATTCAGAAGACAAGCTATGTCTGCTGTAGAGGGCAGAGCCCATGCAGGCTCCCTGTTGTTGGTTCAGTCTCTATGAGTCACTGTGAGCCCAGGCTAGTGATTATGTGAGTTTTCTTGTGGTATCCTTTACCCTTCTGGGTCCTATAACATTTCTTCCTTTCCTTCTGCAGGATTCCTCAAACTCTGCCTAATATTGGCTGTGGGTCTACATCTGTTTCCGTCAGCTGCTGAATGAAACCTCTCTGATGACAATTGGTCTAGGCACCAGTCGGGTAACAGGAGATGACGAGTTCAGTCTATGTATCCATTATTGCTAACAGTCTTAGCTAGGGTTATCTGTGTAGATTCCTAAGAGATTCTCTTGCACCATACTTCCTTGTGTTGAGTACTGTTCTTTAATAAACTACCTTTTATCAATCTAGTTCTAACTCCACTTTATAACCCTCTTGACTAAGGATGTTGAATATTTCCTTAAGAGTTTCTTGGCCATTTGAGATTCTTCTGTTGAGAATTCTCTGTGTAGATCTGTACCCCATTTTTAATTGCATTATTAGGTTTGTTGACATCTAGTTTCTTGAGTTCTGTATATATTTTGGAAATCAGCCCTAGAACAGCAGCGTACAGATGGGAAAATATCATTAACAACCATGACTTCCATCCTTATAAGATAACTATAATCATACAGATAGTTCCTTCCTAAAATCAAATGATTGCTATTAAATGAATAAAACACATTTCTACCCCGTAAAATAGCAAAAAGCAAATATTTACATAGCTCTATGAATTACACATATTTATAAAATGTGCAAAATAATACTTTGAGAAAACAATTACAAAGTTTCCATGATTAAAGTTTCTTCTGCATTTTCTCTACATGTTCTTTCTCTTTATTTTTCCTAAAATCTTTTAGTAGAAAATGAAACTAGTGGTTATTGAGAACTATATTTTATTCATTCAGAACAATGGGTTACAGTACATCCAGGGAAAGAAATGCTTCATGGCTAAAAAAATCAGGGTCTCAGATAATGGGAAGTAAACTGGAAATTTGCTAAATAGGATAGTCACAGAACATATGATTTATAGCAGGGACAAGAAGCAACAAAGTATTATCCATAGCCCAAAATAAGTTATTTTCTAACAGCATCTACAACATTGTTAGTGCTTTGAACATAGAAAAAATAACTATGTAAACTGATTTTTATAATGTGAGCTTTTTCTAATTTACAAGATTATTGTAATGAGAGTATTTTTTATTTAATAGAGTTTCATAATCAAACTAATAAAATTGCATGTTTAAAATAAAGGGCAAACCTCCTAGTTTTTTAATTTTTAAAAAATTAAAAGTTTTTAAAACTTTATCTTTTAAAACTGATATTTAATGTATACTATCTTATCAATAAGTTTTAATAATTAAACTTTAAATTTATATTCTGGAGTTGTAGCTCAGAGGTAGTGCACTTGCCTGACATTTAAAAGCCCCATGTTCAATACTCAGTAATAGAAAAATAGGAAAGAATAAAAGAGAAAGAAATTTGTATTCTATTTTCTTAACACTAACATCAAGTCATTTAAATAAAGTTCAACAACAATCAGGTGACATAGTGAATGCATAGTTATTGTAAGTGCCTAAGAAAGTATTCTATCCTTAATCAAACATAACTTTCTCTCATTGTTTAATTTAATGTAGATATTATGATAATAGCATTCAGTGCAAGCATGGATATTTCACTTAATGTTGCCTCCAAAGCAGCACAAAATACTAAAAAACAAGAAAAACAAGATTGTATTTCATTGGGGACCCTCATCTTTTATTTTTTTGGCTCAGGATTTATCACCCTGCTGCCAATCAGCACAATAGGCACAAAAATTTTTGGAGTGGTCATATTTCAGAAAAGTGTGTGAATTATGTAGGATACAATGATTACAATTAAAGTGCTTGCTTGAGTAAAAATGTACAGAGGCAATGAGCATCATCTCCTCAATATAACAGAGGTATGGTGAGGTCAGGTGTTGCAGTAAGTGTTCCTGATAAATACTAAATTTTGCAAGGGAACTTAGAAATGAAGGGTGGGCAGAGTAAATGTATTTTGAGGGAGTGATTTTTTTTTCAAAAAAGCATATGAATTCCCACAGCAACAGAGACAAGCGCCCAATGTTCTGGGGGCTTTCTTGGTCTACTTAGGTGACTCTTCATAGAAATCACTGACCGACAGGTAGCTATTTATATCTCCCTATAGTGCAATTATAAAAGAATTTCCTCTCACTTATTGAGCAGCTGCAAAACTGGGCATCCAAATATTCTAGAAAAAAAGTATTTTGATTGTCTTTAATATTTATTGAAAATAACTAATTCATTTTATGAACAATACTAAGTTGTTTGACCATGCAATCTGAACTGGATAGCCATGTAATCTCTGATGGCTCCAAATGTTGACTGTTTTCTGTCAATTGCCTTCCAACTTTGGTACACTATTTATGTAAACAGTTCACAAAATGAGATACACACACAAAGAAATCTTTGAACAAACACTAAGTATTTGAGCTAACCATTCTTGAGTAAATATATAAGCAAAACTAAGAAATTGTCATTTTCATTTATATCCCTCTGAATTTCCGTAGTTGGTAAAATAATTGGCCTATTCATCATGCACGGTATTTGAGCTGAAAAACATGCAATATCCACTAATTAGCTTAGAACTATGAATTACAGTTTAGAAAGTCTATAACAACATTAGCATTTGGATTTGTTTCACTTAAGTTTACAACAACATATACAAAACAGAAATTAAATGAAGATTTCTGCAGTGAAGTTTTAAAGATTATGATCCTTTAAATACCTTTAGAGATAAGAAATTGGTCTTTCAGATACTGAACACTATTTCATTTGATAATGACCACCATGGTTTGGAGATAACTATAGTTTTATTTAGTTTCACAAATACTCCTAATTTTTCCTCTATCTAGAGTGGAACACCAGGTGCATTCCCTCAATGACAGCAGTGTTGCTAGGGATGAACTTGTCCAACTGAATCATGGGTTTTCTTTTATATGTCACTTTCTGTGTAACACCTTTCCCTCTTTCCCCACATTCTCTAAACTCTGCTTTCAGACTCCTACCTTTCTATATCCTATTGCTTACAACCACTGATCAAGTATTTCCAGTATTCATTTTGTAAGTCTTTTTAGCTCACAAATTTACACACTAAAATAAATCTCAAAATTAAAGAAAACCTATCAAAAGCATTATTTCCTCTGGGAGCATCTAGGCCTGGTGGATAGCAAGAATTCTCTATGAATTGGAGATGAATCTATTTGAAACTAGAAAGTGAAGAGAAGCATTTCACACCCATCTCATTGCTGGCTATTCCTTTACACATATTCTTTTGAATTATGTTGATTTTGCAGCATACTCACTTGTTAGGTGGTTAATGAGTGATGTCTGTTTAGTCAATGTTTCTTAAGAATACCTCAACTTCTAGGTCCTTTTCATCCTTCTTTTTAACAATACTTGGAATTCCCAAGTAATGCTTTAGTGCCGCCCTTGTTTTACAGGAGAACGCATAACTGACTTAAGTCATCTCATCCTTAATGGTAATGCTATTTTCTTACTAATAAGTGAATAATCAACTTCATTTCTTGTGTTTGACCAGTAAACTTTCCACCAAGGGTCACTGACCACTATCATGAGAGCATCTGAGAGAATCATCATGAGAATTGGATCAGTATTCTATAAGTGGAACCAACACTGTAGGGACGATCCAGAGATAAGCTTCTGCCCACCATTAGTTTCAAATACAAGAACACCTTGTGATGCTTCATCTTTTCTAGACTATTCTGTTGCATAATGGGACAAGTTTTCTTGTGCATAAGAGCTAATTAGATTTGGATTTTCTAATGCATGTCTATTAAGGATGTTCCAAGGTGATTAAGTATTTGTTTATAGCAAATGAAATAAATTCAATCAATTTTATCAAGGTAGATAATGGTGGTGAAAAGAGGATGGCTAAACATCCATGCCACATGAGTCATCACTAATGTGCTCAGGACAGAAGAACAGTTTAGAATCTTGGTTTTGGTCTTCGAGAGAAGGTTGGGTAGTTCACATATATGTCCTCTTTCTCATCATCTATAGAGTGGATAGGAGAAGTGGGACTTCTGCAGTTGGTGGCTACCTCATTGACTGAGACACTGAATTTCAGCATCCAATGAAAGCATTCTATAAGACCCTCTAAATACACTTAGTCAAATTCCCATTACAAACAATTCAATGAAACATTCCTCATATTATTAAAAAAACTTAATTTAGAAATTGCATTCTCAATTTACAAGACTGGAATAGATGCTAGATAAATTTAAGGCAGATTATCAGATTCAGTATTATTCTAATTATCTCTTCAAAGATAAGGTGTGCTGTACCTAAGCACAAGGTCTAGTACATTTCCCCGTAGTGTGTTCACAATAATATTTGAATAATGGATACATTAATAAATAAAATTGTCTTTAAATAAATATTTTTATTAATTTTTATTATTTTAAGTATGCATACAATATATTTAGGTCATATTTATCACTGTCCTTCTAATTCCTACCATATTCATTAGCCCACCCCTCCCAACCTCATGTCTATTTTTTGTTGTTGTTGTTTTTTCAAGACAGGGTTTCTCTGTGGCTTTGGAAGCTGTCCTGAAACTAGCTCTTATAGACCAGGCTGGTCTCGAACTCACAGAGATCCGCCTGCCTCTGCCTCCCAAGTGCTGGGATTAAAGGTGTGTACCACCACCACCGTCTTCATGTCTATTTTTTTTATAACCCAGTGATTCCAATTAGTTCTGCCCATATACAAGTAGGTGAGGAGCCATTCATTGGAGCAGGATTCACCCACCAAAGAACACATCCTTAAAGAAAATGACTCTCCCTCCCACAGAAACCATCAACTGTCAATAGTTCCACATCTAGGGGTTGGGGCTTGTGAGTCCATCTTCCCTCCATGTTGTAAAGCTGACTGGCTTCCTCTTGTACGGATCTTGTGTAGGCAACCTCAGGTGCTGGGTATTCATCAGTGCAGTCAGTAGTCCTATCATGTCCAGAAGACAGTGTTTTAGTCCAGTCTTCCCCAAGTGCTAGCTCTTATCATTTTTCTATCCCCCTTTCCTTGATAATCTGATCTCTGAATGAATAATTCAGAGATTATTCACAGATACTCATTCTCTTCACTTTAAAATGAGTGGAGAGTTTCTATGTTAACCACTCTTCACTGTACAAAGAAACTTTAGTGGTATCTGAGAGCTACATCAGTTTATAGGTATCAAAATATGAATTTAGAGAGCAAATTCATACTACATCCATTTACTAAGCCCATAGTAGTAGGTTCATGCATGGGGCCTAAAAGTTCCCCACCATGGATCTTAGATTTACCAGGCATATATCTTCTCCCATGGAGCAGGCCATAAATCCAATCAGAGAGTAGTTGGTTAACCCATAACATTTGTATCACTAATGTATCAGTACCACTGCTGTGCAAGACTTTTGATTTCTTTTCACTCCAAAAGCCTAAATAGCACCTTTTGATGTTATCTATAAAATCTATCCAAAGGAGCAGAAGTTTCCTCTTTAATGTCAAGTTGATTTCTCTAATATAGCATGTTTAAAGTGTGTGGTGACTTCAGAATAGGGTCTCAATCATTAAGTTCTGTTGGGCAACCAAGAAGAGTAGTAATAGCTTGTATTGTTTCAAATTTCTCTGGGACACCTTTGACTAACATCTTGAAAGGAGGAAGGCCACACTTAGCATTATTCCCTTTAATAATAAAAATGATAAAGTACACAGTGTCCTAGCTTTAAAAAATAAGCAACTAAATATACTGAGAGAGAGTGCATGTGTATGTATGTATGTGAGAGAGAGTGACAGGGAGAGAGAATGAAAGAGAGAGCTAATGAGATTTTTTGATGACTAATTGAAAATTAAGTGATTTTGGCAACCATATGAAGAAAGCAAAAGGAAAACAAAGGTGCTTTTGGATATGGAGTGTATAAAACACTCTAAAGAATCAAGGATATCTAATATCTTTATCTTTCACAGTTCTAAGATTTCAATCATCTAAGATTACCAGAATTGTTCACAAATTCTTGACAATATTGTTATCTTTCAGAAGTCTGGAACAATTGGATTATCTAGTAGAGATCATTTAAAGCATCTTTCTTTCATCCCTCAAAAATTCACAGCATTTGCATTTGGATTGGCTTGATGGGACAAAGAACACAGCACAGAGAAATAAAACTGAATCTAAGCACTGGGGTGGGAGCATCACCTTGTGTGCTCTGGTAGTTGACGACCTAAGTCAAGACATCTTTGCTTTGAACTTGATTCCAAGAAGCAAACCATGTGCCAGTCAGAAAAAAACAAAACAAAACAAAAACAACAACACCCTCCCACATTTTCCAAAGACCAATGCTTCATAAAAGAGGAAAATTAATTTGATAGATTATTAAGAGTCTGCAGCACACATATCAGATTGTCAGAGACTTTTTAGTACTTGTCATTTTAGCCATGTAGAACTCGACTGCAAGTAATTAACATGAAGAAAAATTGATGTAATTTTGGATAGCACTTGAGAAAACGTTTGTCTTAATTCAGGCAACTATATATCAGAATAGTATAGATTAAATGACTCAATTAAACAAAACATTTATTTCTCACAATTTTAAAGTATATAAAGTCTAAGGTCAAATATCAACTTAGAGCTTGATTCTTGAATTACAGATGGTCATCTTCTTTCTTCCTGTCTCAAATCTTTTCTTGAACAATAATAAACAAACAAAGGTATCTGACTTTCAAAACTCTTCCCATCTCTTCTTATAGGAACACTAATTTCATTAATGAGGGTTTCACCTTTACAACCCAGTCACCTCTGCAAGGCTCTGCCTGCAAATAGTCTCACACTGGAGGTTTGACAATTTCAATATGTGAATTTGAGAGGCATAAAATCATTCAATCCCCAGAAATATTTTATAGTAAAACTTAAAAAATGTAGTAATATTCTATTAAAAGAGAAATGTCTGAATTAAAATTAGATACAATGAACATTAAAAAAATCCTTTTTATATGCAAACACAGAAGGAAATTTCCATCCTTTGAATTAAACAGTAGGGGGCAGAGCAAAGCAGAGTAAGAAAGAAAAACTGTATAGTTACAGTCCTGAAACATACGTGAAAATCTGTAATTTTATAGCCAATTTGAACATTTATTAATTAAAAATTAATTCAAAGATAATAATACCAATGAAAGTCAGGCATTAGACCTTTCTTTGTGTGGACTATGCTTCTGAGTCATTTATGTAGTTTAATATGATTTAGCCCTCAAAATAATCTTATGGCATAAAATAATGTTATTCTCTATATTAAACTGAATAGGTACCTCTTTAAAAGTGTCTGTTAGGAGTCCCAAAAGAGGACAAAGCTACACAGCTGTAACAGATGCAGAGTACCTAGGTCAGTCTCATGCAGACTCGCTGGTTGTCCATTCAGTCTCTGTGAGGCCTTATGAACACAGGTTAGTTAATTTTGTACTGGGTCTCCTTGCCCAGCCTTAATGGATGGGGAGGTGCTTATTGTTACTGCAACTTGATATGCCAACTTTTGAAGATACTCAAGGGAAACCTGCCATTTACTTAACAGAAATGAAGGAGGAACGGATGGGGGTGGGAACAGAGGCAGTAGGGGAGGGACTGGGAGGAGAGGAATGAGGGGAAACTGGGACCAAGATACAGATGAAATAAATAAATAAATAAATAAATAAATAAATAATTTAAAAAATCCTTTACAAAACTTCCTTCACGTTTTGAAAATAAGATCTTTGCAGACAAGTTAACACTAAGGAGCTTGGAGGGTGGCTTATCTGCTAAAGTGCTTTGTGAGCAAGCATGAGCACAAATCTCTGTAATCCAAGTGCTAGGAGTCTAGGACAAGAAGATCTCAGAGAGTTAATGGCCAGCCAGTCTATTAAAAGTAGCAAGCTTTCAGTCAATGAAATATTGTCCAAAAAATAGCATTCCCCATGGAGGGCTACTCTCTCTGCCTAGATACACACGGGAGACCCTAGGCCTTCCCCCAAATGATATGACAGAATTGATGATCCCCATGGAAGGCCTCATCCTGGGGAGTGGATGGGAGTGGGATGGGGGAGTTGGTGAGGGCATAGGGCATAGGAGGATGGGAGGGAGAGGGAACTGGGATTGGTATGTAAAATAAGATTGTTTCTAAATAATAATAATAATAATAATAATAATAATAATAATAATATAATAAAGAGTATTTTCACACCAAAGTATTTACAAGTAAAAGTATAAAGTATCTGAAAAAAATAACGTGGAGATCTACAGAGGGAGATAAAAGACGTCATAAACC